TCTACAGTAACTCAGCCAATACATTCAGAAAAGTAACCCCAATCTTACTTTTTCTGCTTATTACACAATTCAGTGCGCGAAAACAAAAATTACGTGTTTGGTGAAAAAGTTGGCTGATAAGCCTGATAAGCCGAAAAACAGTGTTGCCAAACGGCCACTACATCTTTGAGCAATTAGTAATTGTAGCTTTAGAGATCCATCTTGCTTTCGAATGGATCATTTTATCATTAATAGTGAAGTGTTTTCCTTTAAAAAAACAAAATATAAAAAATTACGGAGTACTCCCTCCGTCCCATTTATATTGTCCCGTTTTACCTTTTGGGTAAGTCCCACTTAAATTGTCTCATAGTACCATATTTGGCAAAATTTGTATGACTCTAAATCATTCTTACTTTATCAATTAATACCAACCACACAAACCCACTTTTCTAAATAACTGTGCCACCCTCTTCCGTCCCAATATAAATGGGACGGAGGTAGTACATGCTTAGAATCTACTGTCGAATCTAGTGTTTGGAATCACTGTTTTTCGGCTTATCAGGCTTATCAGCCAACTTTTTCACCAAACACGTAACTTTTGCTTTCGCGCGCTGAATTGTGTAATAAGTTGAAAAAGTAAGGTTGAAGTTACTTTTCTGTCTGTTTTGGCTGAAGTCACTGTAGATGATTATTTTAGCTATTTTTACATACAATTTTTTCTTTATTTTATTAATAATTTTTTTTTCTTTTTCTTAAATCAGCAGAATCAACCAATGCACAGGGGCGTAGCCAGGACACTGAGCTAGACTGGGCCGGTACAAAGAATATTATTGGGAAAAAAAAATTACACGGAATTTTTTACATTAAAAATATTGACATTTTTCAAATTTGGGGTGGGCCAGGGCCTAGCCTGGGCACCCCTAACTCCGCCCCTGCCAATGCACCAACTTCAACCAGAACTTCATAAATTTCAGCAGAATAAGTCAAATCAACTAATTTTTGTGCTACCAAACGGGCTCTAAATTCAAATCGGGAATGAGAAGTTATTATGGGCTAGGCTCAGAGGTAGTGTTACCTTTCATTGGCTTTCAAACGAACACAAGTACTCCATAAAATTTACTACGGAGTATGGATGTTTTCTTTTGGACTGTTTTTTGTCCCAGACCAGACCAGATCAGACCTGACTTCCGTAGTTATAAAATACACAGAGACTAGACGTTTACCAGACCAGATCAGACCAGGCCAGACCAACAAATTTCAGTTCAAAAGAAAATTGGGTTCATGTCTTTTTAACATTCCATACCATAACTGAATAAGAATTTCACTCCGAATCGAAAACATGTAGGAACGACCTAGAGTAAAATGCATAGACAGTACCTTAACTATTGGTAATGATGAATTTTAGTATCTTAAGTATTTAATGAAGCAAATCAGTACCTCAACTACGTTTAAATGTTGCAACTGGCGGTAACATTCAATATTCCAGCAAAAAAATCCACATGTCCGCCGGAAATCCACATGTACAATCCTAGTCATCGTTTTTATCCACATCATTATTTTCCATGTCATTTGAAAATGCAAGCTGTGAAAAAAATGAAAAAATCTAGGGCCACTAGGACTTGAACTTCAGACATTCATTTTTAAAAATTCTGATACTCCATATAACTTAAATTAAAAAATAGTTATAATACTTTAAAAAAGGAAATGAACTCTTGATAACACTAGAAAGCAAGTCTCTTTTTTTGAAACCATAGAAAACCAAAATAACAAGACTTTGAAAATTAGCACCATTCAAACGTGAGGGTCACTGATGTATCTGAAAAAAAAATGTGATAAGAAGAAAAAAGATTACTTTTAATCCTCAACTATTTTGTTCATCAAGTGGATGAAGAAAACACATACGATTTGAATGCTAGGAGTATATACGTAGTATATTATTGCTCTTACCAAGACACACAATAGTCGTAAGGAAAAATTGATAGTAATAATCCCAACTATTGGCGGTCCGCTCATAATAATCCCAACTATTGATTATTACAGAATAATCCCAACTTTAGGGATCTTCCGCCAATAATGGTCCCTATAAATAAATTCTTGTAGTTTCTAAAGTGGATGAGATGAGATATAACAAGTAATCCCTATAAATAATCTCAACTTTTAATTTTTACGCTTAATTTCTATTTAAAATTTACTTTTTATAGAGGTAATATATGGTCATGGACCATTATTGGCGGATAGTCTATATAGTTGGGATTATACAAAAATAATCAATAGTTGGGATTATTTTCAGCGGACCAACAATAGTTGGGATTATTATTTTCAATTTTTCCTAGTCGTAATGGTGAAATGGATGAGTGTGGTGAAACAGGAATTTGGTCTAGCGCGCGATTCAGGCTCAATTCCGTCTTGTGGTAGAATATTTTAATTTGTTTTTTACGGATGACATGGAAAATAATGACGGGGATAAAAACGGTGGATGTACACGTGGATTTCCGGTGGACATGTGACATTTTTTGGCCGGAATATTGAAAGGTACCGCTGGTTGCAACATTTAAATGCAATTGAGGTACTCATTTGCTACATTAAAGACTTAAGGTACAAAAATGCATCATTACCAATAGTTAAGGGACCAATAGTTAAGGGACTGACTATGCATTACTCGAACGACCTAATTATAGTTCATCTATAAGGGACAAATTTCCATAATGTTGGTCCGAGTTTTATTTTATTTCTAGAAAAGTTCCAAAAATAGAAGTAAATAGGTTTTAGAATTTCAAAATAGAAGTAACATACATGGTAATATTTACAACCATGTTGTAGTCATTACTGTCAAATAGTTGCAGTACTATGCATTAAACTTGAAAATACTTACTATCATTAATGTCAATATTTTTCAATAATGGCAATAGCGACTCATATTTCGAGAAAAAAACGCAATAGTTTTATTTTGAAATTACAAAACATGTTTATTTCTATTTGGGCCAATTTCCTCTTATTTTTAAAAATCACCACTTTTGTACTTGTAACTATTCAATGTAGTCACCCAAAAAACACATTCAATATTAGATTTGAGATAGCTTTGGGTCAGCGACTTCATAGGTTTCTCTTGCACAGACTCACTAATACGCTTATAATTTTCATGTTTATGTTTATGATTTTAATTAATTTTGTTGATTGTTACTTTGGAAATTACACACTTTTGGTGTAATAATTTAGTTTGTAAAATATTTGTAATTTGTTTAGCTTAGATATTTAGATTTATTCTAAGCTCAAACAGGTCCATGATCACTCAAGAGACCATTGGTGAACCCAAAAGTGGAAGCAAGGTGAAAAAACACAAGACAAAAAAGAGATCTTGATTTTGACTTGTACCCGATCAGGTATGACCTATACCCGATCGGGTACCAACCTGAATTTCAAATCAGATAAAATCCGGGAACAAGGTAACGTGCAGGAGGATATTTGGCCACGATCGAGTGTCATACCCGATCGGGTAACCGACGCACCTGGTCGGGTATGGCCCACATTTCCAGCTTCTGGGAATTGAAGCTTCTGAAGGTACCCGATCGGGCACCCTATATGTCCGATCGGGTGCACATCCCTGCATGCTCCATTTTCCCTATATATACACCCTTTTCCTTCGCACTTAAATCACCAATTGACATATATACTTCTAAGCTTAGTTTAGACAAGTTTTCTCTTTATATTTTCTAGCATGTTTAGTCTCCAAATGAGGAGCTTAATGAATTGTAAGTTGTGGGTTATTTTCTTTAATCTTCTTCCTTGAATATTAATTAATTCTTATTCATATTTCATATTAATATTTTGAGCATTACTTAAATGATTGACTAGTTTTTGTTTCATATTATTAATTATTACTAGCATCGATCGACGAATACGCTTGTTAATCGTTCGGTCTTTTCACGGTAATAAACTTGGATTATTAATGCATGCGTCTCATGGTTAATAATCTAAGGGGAATTAATTATATTGATTAAATCAATAAACCGCTTGTGTTGAGGTTATCAATCTCAATCATTTTCATCTTAAGTTTATTGCTATTATCGGGTCAATATATGGCGCGTGTTCTATATTGACTCGGTGGTAAGTTTTATTAATGAACGCGTCTCGTTATTAATAACTACCCTCCATGAATTGGATATACTCCTCGATTGAGTATTCGAGAGGAAGATAGTTAAAGATATAACCGGGATCGATGAACATTTCATTAAGTGGATAAAAGCAAAGCCAAGTCTTAATATCTATTAAGTAAACCACATAAGCCGTTCAACTTGGTGTTTAATTATTCTTAAGTCCATCAACAATTTAAAACCCCCCTTGTTACTAGTTTTATAAAAGAGGAGTATTCTTTTCCTTGTGGATACGAACCTTACTTCGTTATATTACGTATAATTATTGTATTAATATTTATTTTGAATGTAGTTAGTTTTCCTAGTTAGTTTCGAGTTCAGACACAAACTCAATGTTGAACTCATTTTTTACTTTCGAGTTGCGCTCCTTTTCTTTTAGGCACAGCTAGTTGTAAGGAAATAACAAAGCTTGTTTATTGCTTCATACTTCGTACTAAACAAATATTTTATTTATTATTGTTTGAGCAAAAAGAGATGCCAAGGAATACGTTAACTCACTCAGGAAGCAAAACTAAATTAAATGAATTAATATAGTTTTTGCATATGGACGAAGTCAATTAAATTTGGTTCATGCTTTTGGAATGTTGATAATCTTAGCACTGAAATCAGACAACTGATAAAGCTTACACACTACCCTACTTAGGAGTTAGGAATATGAGGCATTGAGTGTTTCTTAAGTTTTGGTACATTTGAACTGATAATTGAGACTTGAGTGTCGTTTCTAAAATTATTTTGAACAATCATTTGTTTTGGTACATTTGAACTTATCCAAGGACATTTATTTTTTAACTCTCCTATCCCCCCACACATTCGGTTGATGTTCATGGAATAGCAAGTACTTCAACTCCCTAGTCAATAAGAACTCTGGTAGGAAAACCACAACTATACCCGTATGCTCCATTGCAACAAGTATACATTTTTTTGCAAATTTTATTTATGAAGTGTTCATCCTAGAAAAACTAGATTGTGAGAAGTTAAACTTTACATGTAATAATTATAACAAATTAACAGATAGTGTCTTTTATAGAGAAGCAGACACAATCATCAATAGTGGCGGTCAGTATCTCCGAAGGCTGCGATTTCGAAGATTATACCGTCTCATAGTTGTAAGTGAGCTACTACTATTTTCTACGAAATAATTTTTTGAAGCTCCTTGTTCCATAGGCAACACATAGTCAGGGTCTTGCAAACTATCAAGCTCCTCTTGCAACTCTTTCTCTAACCATGAACAGCACTCCGCTTCACTCTCTGGCTCGCTCTCCATCTCCCATGATACCTCCTTATGTGTCTGAATGCCATTCACCTTCTCCATCAGTGTCAACAATATTTGATGGTTCAGTACCTCATAATCTCTGTGCATTTTAGTTGCATTTGACAACAAATTAGTCTAAGACCTATTTGTGTATTTATAATGTCATCCGACAATTATGACCTATAAAGATACATACTAATATACAATGTTCTAAAAGGCGCTAGGCGCTAGTCGAGCGCCAGCCCAGCGCCTAGTGCCTAGGCGGCTAGGCGGACGCCTAGTCGGGGACTAGTCGGAGACAAAGAAATTACATTTTTATCTATGTTTTTGCATAAATATGATAAGTAATATTATATTTTTGTGTGTATAAAATACATATATTCATATACATTAACAAACATGAATGATAGAATTATCACATTTAATCATATGTAGTATATGATAACTAATTACTTAACTTCATTATGTTATAAATATAAACAATGATGAAATTTAGGTATATATAGAAACATATATAGTTTTATCTTAATTTACAACTTCATTTCTTTGAGTGGCTAAACCTAGGCAGCCCATTAGGCGGGCAATTAGGCGTCATAGGTGGTCGACTTATTCACATAGACGGAAAATCAATTAGTTGGAGCGCCTAGAAGAAAATTGGGGCACCCGGTCACCGCCTAGCGCCGAGGCGGGGACTAGTCGGACGTCTAGAACGATTTTTAGAACAAAGCTAATATATAAGGTTATCTTTACTTTTCTTGTCAAACTATTTGTGTATTTGGAATGCCAACTCTTAATATGTTAATTTGTACTCTTATAAGAGATTAGTATGAAATGACATAACAAATCAAAAATGAATAAAGAAAAGTGGTACAATAGAACATACTGGTAAGTCCAAACTGCATAGAGAAGTTGGATTGATGCCATAGCTACAGAAACAGATCTAACCATGCCTACAATCCAAGATTGCTTCTCCATTTCATCTGTCCCGTATCTAACTATACAGAACTCGATCAAGAATGTAACACACAACCCTAAAAAATCATAGGAAATAAATTAGTTAACCACTTTGTTTAGCATTAGAAATGATTCTTAAAACGAGAAGCAGAGATCTTGGATGTAATGTTGTACCTATATAAAGGCGAGGCCTAACGCTATAGGTCTGTTTTGTACTAGTGAGCATGTAGAGGAGAAAGATTGACAAGGAATAAACCAGAAAGGATTTCATCAACCTTGATTCCAAGAGAATAGCATTATGCAATGCAAATAGCTTGTCTATAGCCACAAACATGCTTGCTTGTTTGGACTCAAATGCTTCCTACAACACAATACATTTGTCATTAAGACCTAATCATGTGATATTATTGATCAACATCATAGACAGAACTAGTTCCATGATATTATTGATCAACATTATAGACAAAACTAGTTCCATACTCACCTGAGCTGCTAGAATTATTTTTGAGTTCTCCACAAGGTGATCATGAGCATGTTGAAGCATTTCTTGCTTTCTAAGTAATTCCTCCTGTTGTTTTTCCCCAGTTTCAACCAATTGTTGCAATGTTTCTCTATAGATTAATTCCAAAAAATTGTACCATTAGATTTAGGATGACTTAACATACCCAAAAAACAAAGCCATTTGAATAGGAAAATAAAAAAAACATGTAAAATAGTATTAATACTTTACATGGTTTTTATATCTCACTGATTTGCGAGAAACAACTAATGGATTCCATTTAAAATAAAATAAAAACTTTAACAAAAGAAAAGAAATATTGATTCAGTTTTACCTGCTTTCTTCGAGAGCTTGAGACTGAAAGTTGGTGAGAATATGAAGACCATCAAGGGCAGTAGTCTGGATGTCTAGAAGTTCTTTCTGTTTATCCAAAGATACCCCAGCAATAACTCCAATATCATCAGCTTTACTCTGAAGTATTATCATTTTTGAATTCATTTCCTTACCAACTTTGCCAATCTCCTTCTCAATCTCCTCAGTCTCACTCTTCAACTCATTCATCCCTTTACCGAGGCTACTATAAGATATTTGCAAAATCTCCATTCCCTCAACTAAATTCATCTTCATGCGTGCCTGTTCATCCGTTAACTCCTTCTGAGATGCCTCAATGGACTTGGAATGCTCATGGATTTCCCTTGAATGAGTTAGAACAATGCTCACATGTTCTTCCACATTCTTGGAAGCCTTTTCTAGGTTTTGAGTTCTTAGATCAACCACAGACAGTGAATCTTGGATTTCCTTTGAGTTCTGCAGTAAGACTTCCCCGTGCGCCTCTATGTTTTCTATCTTTTCCTCTGCGTACTCTGTCGTTTTCTTCAAGTCATTCACCAATCTCTCCGTTTGGTATTTAAATGCTTCCATCCTGCAATATATACATTTCATTTAAGTACAGAGAATTAAAGTATTATCATGAAAGTCCAACATAATAGGCGAGTTATGGTCTTTTTTATACGGCTTTATTTTTATATACGTCCGACGTGAATGGTATAACATCCTTGCTGAGGGTTAAAGCAAACCCATTTTAAAATATGTTCTTTTAAGTCTCAAATAGAGAACTATTATTCATTTTAGCTTGATTGTCTCTATTTGGAATGCCATCTTAAAAGTTAGTTAAAGGAATTATATTTGCTCGATGTATAATGGCTTACGACTAAGTTCACTTGAGTTTGAGTCTAATACATATACAATATATTAGGAAGAGGCAAAGTGGAGAACTTACTGAAGTTGGTGGCAAATTGAGTTGGTTTCAAGAAAGAACTCAAGGTAAATCTTGTGAGAAAGATCATCCAAGTTCCTGAGGCAATGGTTCATGGGAGATTTGGGGTCACATAATGGAAAAGAAGACCGAGCAGAATGTTTTTGGAAGCAATCACTGAGATGCCACGCAAGACGAGACCTTAGTTCATCATCGTAAAGAGCCTTTGAACACTCCGCAAATACACTCTGATAAGCCCTTTGCCAACAAGAATCTGGGCCAACCATCAACATTTTTTGTCTTGCGTTTTCCACTAATTTGAGTCCTTTAGCATTATTGAAAGGCTCCATGGAGAAACCTGATGAAATCTTTCCAGGAACTTGTTTTTCTTCTTCCTCATGATTCTTAGCTGAACCGAAGAACCAACCACCCCATGACAAGCAACAACATTGTGACAACAAAATGAGAAACCAAAGCAGCTTATGATTTTCCCCCATTCTTCTATTCTATTGAATCTGTACCAACAACAAATCTGAACTATATTTAACAAAACCAAAATCACTATCTCTAGCAAGTTGTAATTATCTCAATTATGCAAATACTAAACATTCGATTTTAGGACTATCCAAAGAAGGCATATTCTTATGAAAAATAAGCTTAACATTTTTACTTATACAATTATACCAGTATGAAGTGGCATTATCACTTCATAGATGTAGCACGAGCAACTATGAATACAAGGCGCAAGACGGCATGAAAGCATTTGTAAAATTTAGTCGAGGCGAAGACATTTGCCTCACGGAACTTAGTTATGCATCTTTGCTAAATTGTACATGATGCTCTCTTGAAAAAAAAACGATGATAAGGTAAAAAGGACCACAAGTCATTAAGCATAATAATTACTAATACCTCTAATGTTTTCAAATGATTTTACTTGCACACCTTATATGATGTTTTCATATAATTTGAGTTGCAAACCTGATCAAGGATTCAACTCTTTCTGTAAATTAACTACCTTCCCTTTTTCACTAGGAAACCAATAAAACATCAACCCAAACTATAACATAGAGTCATACACTACTTGTATAAAACACTAAACAATGTAAAACACAACCAAATAATATAGTCATATAGGATTAGCCGCTTAGATCAACGTTCCAATGGAGTCAAAGACTCACTATTTTTTTTTTACTTTGGAATATGATGGAATAAACCAAATAATATAGTCATAAACTGTGTGAGTAGTCTTTATTAAAATAAAGAAACTAACCTTTATCCTTTGGCAGCTTTTTTGTTGTTGGGACAACATGCGAAATACAAATTAGATGTGGTGCGGAGTACATTGACTTTAGAACTAATTCGTATTTTACAATGCATTCAAAAACACATATTGTAAAGTTTTCAAAATGTCATTGGACATAGATTGGAATGATAAGCTAGCTAATAGCCTAATATATTTGGCTATCTATAGTGTTTGGTTCGTATTAAGTGATCTCCTATTATTTATTAATTCATGAAGTTTTAGAGAAGGGCATAAGGTTTAAAATGTTAAGGTATGATTCACATTCTTAGCTGACAATAATTGTTTAAGGCTAGAGAGTCTGGTATGGACTTTGAAAGTGTCCTATATAAAAGGAATTATACTCCGTGTTTTTATGACATTAATCCATGTTTTGACATTTGGTTATGTGAAGTAGAGGTTGCAATGAAACATGTATAAGTGCAGGATTGATATGAGGCAAGAAGAGATGTATTTATAGTAAATAAAATTTAAGTCAATACAATTTAAGACAGACTTATTGGAACATATTGAAAATGAAAGATGTACACTCTTAGCAAGATGGAGAGAGTATTTAGTGAGATGGTATATGTCTGAGACTTTAAGCTATTGTAGTGTAATAGATGAGGAGCAGTGTTCATCAACAATTTTGGAGTAATTGATCGTAGCAGTGGAACAAACAACAAAGATTGATCGGTTAATCGATGCCTTAGTTGCCGACGCTTGAGGAACCCGTTTCAAAATTGGAACCTTTTCTTTTCTTTCGACTTACGTGAGGAACGTAAAAGTGTGAAAGTCCAATTTCCATATTGCGTGATTTATGGGCCATGTGCCTGGTGAGCTCTGGGGATCGGAGGCCCGAGCTGCTCTATACAGGGCGATTTTTTTTTTTCATTAATGTAGGAGTGAAAAATTTCCCTCTATTGTAAGAGGGTGAAAAGTTTTTCGCTAATGTAACGGGACGATTTTTTTCCGTTAATGTAGGGCTCTGCAGCTAGATTTTGTTCAAAAAAATCCATGAGTAAATACACGATGACATTCAAATTTATTATATATTACATTCTAATTTTAGACAATGAAAAAATGAGAAAGGATATAACATTTTATCAAATTATTTGAAGGTAAGGAGTATAAAAGGTATCATGGACCGATGCTTTTTAATAATTTCTGCTTTGTTTAACCATATGAATCTTATCAGAATAAAAAATCGGTTTTTGAATTGCAATTTGTGTCTACGAAGGAGGGTATTCATGGATCACGCGGAGTTTTATTAATATTACAAATTTACAATAGTATGTATGAGATTATTAGTTTTGGATCAATATAATACGTAGTATTGTTAATTCATATATATATATATATAGTGCATATTATATTTGTATGAATCCTAAAATAAGTTAAAGTTGATTATCTATGCAACAAATTGTTTTTCCAAAGTAAGAAGTAATTTGATTGTGTAATTTAGTGTCAACAAACATTTATATATTTTATTCACTTTACATGATCTAAAAACTGTTTAACTATTGTGTCTAATATTTATAATATCTTCAATATTTTACATATCGAGTACTAATTATCTTATAAAGATAGTTAAACATTACAAAATTAAAATTTTTGATATAATAGGTATCCTAAGTCTTAAACAATGAGTTGTTCTATTGTCTATTTGTTTAAGTTATGTAAATTTGTTTAGATTTTACTTATTTTAAATCTCCAATTAAGTATTACATTATGTGAGCTTATATATTAATTTTGAAAACTAAAAGATAAGGGGGCGAAAACATATATACTCCCTCCGTCCCGTTGGGATGTTCCCGATTTGACATACACTCATTTAAGGAAATAAACTTACCAAGGGTAAATTTTACTGTTTCGACACTGTTTTGACATTGTTTGACATTATTTGACACTGATTTGATGTAGGATAACTTTTCATTTGGGGAAATGAGAATTTCTTTTTGGGACATCTAAAAAAGGAAAGCGGGAACATCCCAATGGGACGGAGGGAGTATCTAACTAAAGTCTGAAAATATTACATATATAGTAGAAAAATTTGAAAGTCCAAGGGGGACGGTCGCCCCCGCACCCTCCTTAAATCCATCCCTGGCTCTATACAAGGACCGGCCCTAGCCTAAACGAAAAAACATATGGAAAAAAGTTGATAAAATGATGAAAAGTAAAAGTTTATTAGTAAAATGTTTAAAGTCAAAAGTTTATTAGTCATATATTAGCGCTAATAAATGTTTAACTTTCTTATATAAGCCTATTACTTGAATTTGATATTTTAGTTCTTTGTATATATTTATCTAAATCTATTAATAAAATATATTCAAAGTATTTTTATTCGTAATTCAATAATTTCATCAATGTCAAATACCTCACGAACTAATTATGGTCCTCCCATAGGAAGTCATATGTTTGTATATCACTATGATCAAAGATATTGACATCTAAATATCTAATGTAGACCAAATACTGTAATTAATCTTTATAATTGTACTCTCTTCGTCTAAAATTGATTTTGCATGATGAATCAATATTAAAGTTAAATTTGCTTTATTGATTTTAATTGGATTTTAATAAATATAATTTACGTATTCAAGAAACTACATTAACATTTCTACAAAGTTGCAAAACTCAAATTAAAATATGATTAAAATTTAGTATCCTAATAAAATTCATAGAATGAGACTGTTTGAAAAAAAGAGTTGACTTTAGAAATTAATTTGGACAGAAGGAATATAAAAAACATCTTCAGCAATATTTGATGAATACAAATACTGTAATTAATCTTTATAATTGTACTCTCTTCGTCTCCAATTGATTTTGCAACATTTTTTGATGAATCAATATTAAAGTTAAATTTGCTTTATTGATTTTAATTAGATTTTAATAAATATAATTTACGTATTCAAGAAACTACATTAACATTTCTACAAAGTTGCGAAACTCAAATTAAAATATGATTAAAATTTAGTATCCTAATAAAATTCATAGAATGAGACTGTTTGAAAAAAAGAGTTGACTTTAGAAATTAATTTGGACAGAAGGAATATAAAAAACATCTTCAGCAATAATTATGACAATTTTCAAATATATGCTGACTTGACTTGTATTCAGGGGTGGATCCGGGAATGAGAAATGAGGTGGGCTAAGTGATAAAAAATTATGTACTATGCATACAAGGTTTAGCTTAGGGCTGTTACCGTAGTTTTTTTCAAACTGTATACTCGAGGTTGAGCTTAATTTCTAATCTAATTTAATGACCCGACTTTAATGATCTTTGAACTTGAACACAGACTACGTTTTGAGTTTGAATAATAAATAAAATCGAACTCGGACATAGTGATGTTTGGTTCGATCTGGACTCGAGCATATTGTTCACTTATAAATTATAGAATAAATTGTATTATCTCGGACATAGTTGCAACATTCGTGAATTTTGCGCTATTCACATACTCTACTTTGACTACATTTTATTTCTTCATGTATTATAAATTAACTTTTTGAAAGTTACTTGTTAAATTCCTCTCATTTTTAATTTTCAAAATATGATATTTTTAATTTTTTACTAACAAGAAATGAAAGACGTTAATGATTAATCTTGTGTGTTAACAAACGTGAATAGTAGACCGTTGCAATTTAAAGAGAACGGATGAAGTATACGGAGTATATAATTTGTGTGTTGCAATTTCACTTTTAATTGAAATATGATATAGGGAGTAAGATATCTGGGAAGTATAAATCGGTGGGTTGGCATTGTTATTTTTATTATAAATATAAATTTTTTAATTAACTAATTAATTAATGCTTAAAATGCTTTGTGATTTACAATGGAACGTTGGTCTAGTTATAACACTGACAAAGGTGCAAACTTTAACAACATGTTGAGGTGGAACATTGGATAAGATGTTGATTTACTTGAAAGATGTTATGTGTTCGATTCTATGGGCTGCATCTTCTCGCTAAAATCTCGCAGTTTTTTGACTTCCAAACTGCTGCCTTGTTCACACAAGAAGTTGCGGGTATTAAACTTGGGCTGGGAATAAATTTGGGATGGGCTGGACCTTTGGGCTTTACCTATACTAAATTAAAGAAAAATATTTGGGCTGGGCTGGAGCCCACCCCTGCCCTAATCATGATCCGCCCTTGCTTGTATTAGCGTTACCAAAAAGCTCTTATATAATTGAGATATAAGATACTACCTCCGTCCCATTTAAAGGTTTTCATGACAAAATGACATGATAATTTAGACAATGATTAAATATGTTAATTCGAATATATTTTGAGAAATAATTTTGATGAATATATAATATAATGAGTTATTGATGATAACTGTAATGTTATAAATGTATTATTTTTAATATTTGATGATTAAATTGTTATTTAAGAGACGTCCATAGAAGGAAAGTGAGAACCTTTAAATGAGACGGAGAGAGTAGAATATAATTTCAAGATAACTTTTACACGGTTGGGCTGTTCTTAGGACCGCCCCCTGGGGGGGGAGGGCAGTAAAGTCGACCGCCCTAAGCCCAAAAAAATAAAAAAAATTAGGCCAAGTTTTTTCTTTATACATAATGCCAATAGGCTTTTTTATTTATTTTAAAATTTAACTAATTATCCCTGATGTTTAATTTTTGTTGACAATTTGAATTTCTTAAAAATAAGTAAAAAGTCTTGATCGAAACCGCTAAGACAAGTTTAAAAAAGAATATACATTTAATTTTAATGTTTGAGTGGAGCTGGTTGTAGCTCAACACATTGTTGTTGAATCAACACAGACAAGTCATTCCACATCTTTTTAGCCATTAATGCTTTTTATTCCTTTTAATTACAAAATTATCAATTTATACTATTTTTTTGTGCAGCCCGTGCCTCACTATTCCTAAACCCGTCCCAATTACATGTGATCGACTATTTCTCAAAAAAGTTTAATGGATTAGAAATTTTGAGCATTGAGCATGAAAACTTGAAAAAAATTAATTATAAAGCAATTATTGATGATTTCGCTTCAGAATGTTCTGCGAGAAATATTTTAAGTAATACTTCGTACATACTACTATTTTTGTTATACATTTGTTGTTACTTTATTAGATAATTTTACCATAATTCTTTTTAGAAGAATTTCATTATAATTCTTATTTTAAGAAAGTATAAATAAATCACTCGATGATTTGCGTATATATGCTTTCATAGAAGGTTTATATATATACAGACACATATATGTACGGGATAGAGTTTTGAATTATATTACCAGGGACAGAGCTAGGCGGCGGCCGATAGGCAAGGGCCAATTACGCAGGCAATTTGTTGTCGTTAGTATAAAAAGTGGCGGCCGCTTGGCGGTTTCCGGCCACAACTGGTTGCGATGATGACCGATCAAATTAAAGTTGGAGCCCCAGGCGGCCACTTAATTATGATCCACCAGGAGTTGCGACGCTTCATATATGCATGCATCTACCGTTCAATTCTAAGATATTTGGATGTTTCCAAATACTCGGTATGTAAATATTGACATCAATTCTACTTTATACTACGTATATTATTAGGATTTTTCCTTATATATTATATACTCTAGTTTCCTAAACGTGGTTAGTTAGTTTCCTAATCTTTAGTTAATCATTGTACTATTTGTATTTTTGTATACATGGGATCTGTTCTTATTATTATAGGACTAGTTTTCAAGCCCGTGCGTTGCACGGGCAGTACGTAATTCAACCAATTTTAAATGTGATTTTTCCGGAATCATATATAATGTGATGCAAAAGCAAAATAAACTTAAGGGATGTTAACTTTTCGATTTAATTGGAAGCATGATTTTATTGGAAGCATGATTTAACTATTCAATAAAAAAATTGACTTAACCATTAAGATGGAGAATAGTAGTTCTTCCCATTAAGACGGGTATAAGATATATTTTTTACTGTCAATTTTTTTTAAATTGATTGTGGAATAGATTTATATTAATAAATGAAGTTTTCCATTGACACTATAATCTAAGAACAATACTAAATTGATTATTTTACTCGATTCAGACTGTTATAATAGAAAAAAGTAAACAATCCTTCAATTTAATATAAATCCCGTTTGATAACACTAAAATTGATCATATCGACTGATTCTACTGAAATTGATTAAGTTTGGCTGAATGGTATGCATAATTATTTTTTAATTTTAATAGTGGGATGTTACATTTACTCATTATTTCGTCACATTGAAAACGTTTAAAAGTGTAGTTTTTTAAATTTCAACTCTTTTCTCAATTGGATAATTATTAGTTGTCTAAACAAATAGAGAGTAAAAAAAGAAGTCTGAAGAGTTCAGGGATTTTAAACGTATTCCACCTTCCATGCTCAATTCAAATGCTAGATCCACCCATGTAGAGACCACCATAACACATTTTTGGTGAGTGGGATTCTTTCTGCATTATTTCAAATGCCAATGTGTTTTTGTTGATGGTAAATGGTTTAAGTAATAATATGACCTCATTGTGTGTATTCATAATGAAAAATTCTGTATTTTATTAACTGATCATTGTTGTCGTTTGTATTATCGCAGAAAATAAACTATGATTAATACTTTTCTGATATACTTTGGTGTATTTAGTTTTTCAATTTTGAATAATAAAAGTAGATAGAAATATATCTAGTTCCTTGTAGCACATGAGTTCGTACAAATACTGTAATAAAGAATAAACATGTTAATGGTAAAGTATGATATATACATAGTTTTTAATAATATATGAACACTAAACAATGGAACTCTCCAAACGAAGGAGAAACTCGATCAATAACTAAAATTTATAAAACTGAATAGTGAAAACATGTTTTAGTTTACATTCAATTCTCTTCCATTTTATATGGGAAAAATAATTAAAACACCTCAAACTTTTAATTTGAAAGGGTGTCAGATGAACATCCCAAACTTGCATATGTAATTTAAATACCTCAAACTTTATACAAAAAGTTATTTTAGCACCATCGTCAAGTATTATTTCTTTCAAAAATGTAAATTTATGGTATTAAATACATAATTTAAAATATTTTAGAAATCATGATGAAACAATTAACATTCTAAAATTCTATTGCGAAAGAAATAGTGTTACCCCGAATTGATATAATTGCAACACTTTTAATTTGCTATTTTAAATTATGCAACTAACCCCATAAATTTAAATTTTTGAAAGAAATAATACTCGACAATGGTGTTAAAATAACTTTTTATATAAAGTTTAGGGTATTTAAATTACATATGCAAGTTTGGAGGTGTTTACCTCACACCCCTTCAATGTTCGGGATATTTTTATTATTTTTCTCTTTTTATAATAACAAGTATTCAGTTCTATGATCATCAATATGCGAAGTGTAATGGCCTACATATACACCATACGGAATTTTTATGTTTCTAAATTCTGATTCTAGAAACACAAAAAAAAACCCTACATGATCGTCAAGTATTATTTCTTTCAAAAATATAAATTTATTGTGTTAACTACATAATTTAAAATATTTTAGAAATCATGAAGACACAATTAACATTCTAAACTTCTATTGTGAAATAAATAGTGTTATCACCAATTGATATAATTGCAACACTTTTAATTTTCTATTTTAAATTATGAAATTAACCCCATAAATTTACATTTTTGAAAGAAATAATACTCGACGATGGTGCTAAAATAACCTTTTATATAAAGTTTGGGGAATTTAAATTACATATGCAAGTTTTGGGGTGTTTACCTCACACCCCTCAATGTTTGGGGTATTTTTATTATTCTTCCCTTTTTATAATAACAAGTGTTCAGTTCTATGATCATCAATATGCGAAGTGTAAGAATATGTGAATTGTAATAGCCTACATATACACTATACATAATTTTTATGTTTTTAAATTCTGATTCTAGAAACACAGAAAAACCTACATGGACGTGTTTTAATGTTGAGCAGTTTTGAATTTAATATTGCAGATCCACTAAAATATGATTCCTTTGCTACAATCATCAATATATAAAGTTTCCTTTCTCATAAATATTTAAACTTAAATATGGTAAAATATAGCCAACATCTCTCTACGTAGGTTTTATGTTTCTAAATGCTGAAATTAGAAAATTAAAATAAAGATTGCATCTCTACGTAGGATTTGATGTTGCTAAAGTTACCAAGTAATGTGGCTTTCTATAAAACAATAAAAGGTTTAGAAATAAATAAATAATTGTTATATATGATGACATGGCTGGACTATGTGGCGCATTGTATGCTCTTAAAAAGTTCCTCTTTTATATATATATTGATTTTCTTTACCTCCGACAAAATAATGCATACGTAGTACGATAGCCCGTCGAACCACTTCACTATTTCAATTTATGAAACTCAATTGAGAAGTTTAATTTTTCCCTGATACTCCGTATTTAAACTAGTTTAATTAATTGAAATTTTTATTAACTTACAATTATATTATCATCCCACTAATATTGAGACATGAGGAAGTAGTGCCGTTATTAAAGAAAATTGAGTTCGTGTAATTGATAATAAAATGATAAATTAAGAATAGACTAAGAATAATATAGAATCACAGAAATGTTACCAAAATTGGTATGAAGCAACTTTAATGGGCGAAACGAAAATCAAAATAAAGATGAGACAAAATAGTACTTCGTGTGTAGTACTGTATAGTAGAATCAAGGCTAAAGGGTCAAATAAGCCTTGAACTAGCTTAAATTATTCAATTAACCCCTTATATAGGAGGTTCAGCCCGGCCAACGCTAATTGGGGAGGTTCCAGGTGGACTTTTTTTATGAAAGTTTTTGAGCATCTTATTCATTAAGTCTAGTTTACCCATACTAAATTTCAGCTAAAAATTCAACCGGAAAGGCAGTCAAATGATTTTTTGAAGATAACAGCGCAGTTAAACAGTGCAATACATTTCGGAAAATCATTTGACTGTCTTCCCGATTTAATTTTTAGCTGAAATTTGATATGAGTAAACTAGACTTAATGAAGAAGATGCCCAAAAACTTTTATCAAAAAATTCTACCGGGAACCTCCCCAATTGGCGATGGCCGGGTTGAACCTCTAATATAAGGGGTTAATTGAACACTTTAAACTAGTTCAAGGGTCTATTTGACCCTTTAGCCTAGAATCAAATGACCCTACTAAAATAATACGCAGTAGTTTTGAAACATATTTATCACGGATAGACACAGTTTTGGCATGGAGCATGGACTTAGGGGGGAGCGGGCGACCACCCCTTGGGCTTTCAATAGTTTCTATTATATATATATATATATATATATAATATTTTCATTAATGGTTTATTCTTTAATTAGAAAAATATGTGCCCCCCCTGAAATTTACTTTTCAAAATTAATATATAATCTTACATAATACTCAATATGAGCTTTAAAAGAAGAAACATATAAAATAATTCATCATTACTTAAACAAATAAACAATATATAGAACATCTCATGTTCAAGACTTAGGATTTATTATATAAAATTTTCTAATTTTGTAATGTTAATTATCTTTATTGGATAATTACTACTATTTTGTAAAATATCAAACAATATTAAATACCAAACACACTAGTTAAATAGTTTTTAGATCATGCGAAGTGAATCCAAAATATAAATGTTTATTGACATTAAATTACACAATTCATTTACTTCTTAATTACTTTCTAAAAACAATTTATTGCACAGATAATAATAAACTTTAACTTATTTTAACATTAATACAAATATAATATGCACCATCTATATGAATTAGCAATATAATATTATGCTAAAAATAAATAATCACATACATACTATTTTAATATTAAGAAAACTCCTCGTGACTCACGAACACCCTCCTTGGTGCACAAAATTTGCAATTCAAAAATCAAGTATTTAAACAAGGCATAAATTATTCAAAAAATATTGGTGGATGTGTACCTTATTTATTTTCAAATAATTTTCCCTTAATTTGAAATTTCTTATGCTTTAATGTATCAATACTTTTTTAGAGCACTTCAATTATAAAATCAAAGTTATTTTCCATTATCAATACTAAAATAACATTTTAACTACAAGACTTTCGAGTTCTACAGTCATTCTCAATGTTTAATTTTTAACTTTGATTATGATTACGAAATCTCTTGATGTAAATCTTTTCTTGATGCGGATTATTGATCTAAGAGTCAATAACTTCTGAAATTGTAAAAAATTAAGCAAATTCTTTTTGTTTGGTAATATATCGGTCTGAGTCATATTTAAAAAAAAAATCTTTCTCAGTAAATAGACACCTGTGTTGTAGAACCTCTTAGAGCATCTCCAATGATATAATTTATTTACTAATATTTATGTGACTATCTCCCATGTCACATGTGCAACGTGCTTATTGTAACATTGAAGATACCCTTAGAGCAACCGCAATGTTGTGCTTTCTAGTGGAGATAAATGTGTCATGTCATCAATTGGGACATTGTGGATTAAATTTGGTTTCCTGTAGTCTTATGATGAGTTGCAAAAAAAACACTGTCAAGAGGACCGTGTGAGTGTAGAACGACACATTAGCATGCTGACTTGGACAAACTACACTCAAAAAGCCTCTACCTCATGGCGGGGATTTCAACGGTCCTCTTGACCATCAGCTACAGTGTGAGTGTAGAACGACACATTAAGACGAAAAGCCTTAACGATCCTCTACCTAAAAAAGCCTACACGTTGAATTCTCCGCTAC